TTCTCCTTGATCGAATCACGATCCTCCATTCGATTCTGTGTGTAGCGACGCGCAAAGACGGAGCGTGTCATGCTGGGAAATGAAAGCAAATTATCCGCCGTCCGCAAATTGCTAATGATTGCTACTCTCCGGATGAGTGTGTATTATTTTCTTACCGACCGGTAATTTCGGGATAATTATAAACCGCGGGCAGGGCGAGAGTCGCACGATAGAACTCGATTTCGACATTTTTAACGATGGATCTCGAATTTGTTAGATGAACTTTCGGATCGGAAAAACATTTACCGTTGAGTCTGTCAGAAATTCTGTAGCCTTCTATAATCGGTTTTACGATTGTTCGCCCCTTCGCGTTCACCCTCGCAAGTAGCGGGCAACGTGGATACTTTAAAGTCCACTGGCTGTACGGAATCGGGCCGGAGAGGCGAGTAACCGCACAACGGGAAAGAGGCCACAAAAGTGTGGTAAATTTGAGAGTCATCGGAACGCGTGCAGCGCAAATTAAGTATTGGCCCACGAGCCTTTTGTCGTCGAAGAAGGAAGGGCGTAAGGGAACGAGAAAAGGTGGCCAGTTCCCTTTTCGCGCGGTACAAGCTTTCACGCCCATCGTTTCGCGCGACAATAGCCAGTGTCCGGCTACAAAGGCTAAACACCAAAATATTGCCGAAAATCCTACTGTACCGTCTCCGGCCTCGAGTCGGTGCTCCTCGACACGATAAAAAGAGGGAAGGGGATCGAGCGCAACGGTCCGGCTAAGTATCTCGAAATTTAATCTATTCCTCTTTTTCTAATCCTGTTACTCGGCTAAACGGTCACGTTTCGACCGCATCGTCCAAAATCAAGAAGGTGCGCTCCTCTCCTCGAGGATTTCCGCTCGGTTGCCGCCTCGACCATGCGGAAACGCGAACCACTTCGTCAAATCTCGTTTAGCGAATACGTACATACGTACGTAACCGTCGTGCCCGTCATGTCCTCGTCCGCGGTTCTCCTCCGCGAATCCTAGATAACTTCGGCTCGTCTCGAACTCTTCTAGTCTTTTCGCGACGATGTTTGTCAAACTCCTTAAAGGAATACGCTATTCTCTCGTCGAAACCTCGAAAGACACGCTGTTACCGTCTCATCGATTAGCAATTCTTTCGGTAGGCGTCGAAGTGCACTCGAAGTACAGAAGCACGCCCGAGTGCCCTCGAAGAGGCGATGACGCGCGTAACGACGGAATAACGAATCTCCACTCGAAAACGTAGACCGAGGGGTGCTCCGCGGGACGCCATTTATGTTTACATCGACGCCACTCGTCGGTTTAACGAGCCGCGATAAAACCCTTCGAGGGTTGTACGCGACTAAAGAGAGAAATCGTTTTTAGATCGCTCCGTATTCGCTGTCGCGTGGAACAGGATAAATCTGTGACGGGCGCTACCCGTTTTGAGCAAACAGCTCGAGCCGCTTCGGTTTTTCTTCCGAGGAAAATCCTCGAACGAGCTTTGCGTACATAAGATCTGTCGTAAGATCGGGTAGAGAAAAAGAGATCGGAGAATCTCGCGAAATCTCGTGCTGTGAAACAGGGAAGCCCCCAAAGTGAGCGCGGCGCAACGGAGTTTATAAATTATGAATATTTAATCGGATGCGAAGCCAGAGACTCGAGTCGAGGCCTGACGCTCGAGCTCGAGCTTTCCGGAAACGATATTTTCCTATCCGTCGTGGCCTGCTGCTCCGCCACCGTGCCGGTGCAATAGTGTACCGTAAAAGGGATGCTTAGGAAACACGATGGTACGCGTCGCTAAAACGAGAGCATCCCTTTGAGCGGATGCGTCAAAGCTAATGGATCTTCTCTCTTCTCTCTTCGGGGTGGTTCTATCGCGTCTCTCCGCGCCTCGTACCGGTTGTTCCTCTCCTCCTTTACGACCCTCCGATGCCCTTCTCTCGGGCCCGTCTCCTCATTTCCTAACTCTCCCCCTCTCTTTGTTCGCTACAAAGACGATCGCGAGGACCGAGTCCCGGAGTGAAGCTCCGTTAATGTTTTCTGCCAGTTGATTGCAAGCTCGTTAGAATATGCATAAAGCATCCGTTGTTAAATGCTGCTCTTTCTCTTAGCCCGTGGGTTCCGAGGGAGTGAATTTACGCGTGGCGAATTCTATCGCGGAGGAACACGCAGCCGCAGAAATGTTGCCTGTATCGCTCGGTTTGATTCGGAGGACGGATTTTCAACAGGCAGACGTTATGTATAGACGTCTAGCGGGAGAGACGGAGAGAGTCAAATTAATTAGTGGCGGAGAATGGGAAATGATGTTATTGCGCGTAAGATGTTACGAGTGGATCGGAGATAGTAAAAATTCAAGTCAATGCCTTTGGGTGGGAAATGTTAATCGTCGTAAGTAAATCGATAATAATTAGAAATTACCAGAGCGTACGAAGACTCGACGATTTTATGAGTTTACGTCCTCTGGACGACGAAATCTTGAAGTTTGGTTTATCGGACCTCCACGCTACTGCGACGGGAGTTTGAAAACCGATTAGGAGCGTATTTGGAAGCATCAAAACTAACGGATACCCTGCGCAATCCGGCTACGCGAAACTCCGAGAACCGGCCGGACCTCGAAGTTGGCTAGTCGCCTCTCTGACCACGACATTTATTAACCTTGCCATCGGAATATCCATTCAATCTCTAAAATACACCGGCTGTATCGGCGAGTATCGGGAAAGCAGAGATTAAATGCTGCACTGTTTGACGAAGTTGTAAACGGATCATCGGAAAATTCATCGCGCGAAACCCAGTTCCGTTATTATTCGTACTATCGATCGTAAGAATAAGTTGGCAAATCTTTGGGAAGCGCGTACGCGACGAATTTCGGGAACCGCAACGGTGAGTAGACGGTGATTAAATCTTGCGGGAGCGTCGCGTAAACCTGGGGAGGATGATCGGCTTTCACATAATTGTAACAACTAAATTCTTCGACGAAACCATCGAGAAAACGAAACCTATTTATATGATCCCATTCCGGCGGTCCAGTAACTCTACACGCGGTCCGATCAGATACGATCCATGTCTCGGTTCGGAATAATAAGAGGTGTAAAGAGTCCCCGATATTTTCGCGTCGAATTTGTTGGGATAAGATCGGTGCTACCTTCGAGCCTCGGTAGCCAAGGAAACGGTATCGTTCGTCCCGATGGAAAGCAATCGTCGGCCACACGAAACCGCGCTGTCAAAACACAATAAAACGTTGCCCGGAAGAAGATCCGTGCTCGCATTTTGCTCGAAGGTAGATCGTCGCTTCGCGGCGCGCAATACCCGTCGTTTTTAACGTCGGTGTATGAGTGCGCGCGTGTATATAGATACCGGTCCATTGTGCGGCGGTCGCTAAAATGCACCTCTTGCACCGAATAATGGCGATAATTGTGACGAAATGGAGCGTCATTGTGGGAAAAAAAGGGAACCTAACCGTAACGATCGAGGCCGCCCTCGGGTCCGAGTAAGTGGCAGATGCATGCCGCTCGATTGACAGCTCCTCCGATTTCTTTCCTCGAGGTTCGCGCCAATTCCTAATTCCGCGCGCATCGTTTTAATCCCACCCTCCCTTCTTTATCGCGAATCGATGCGACGTTCTTTCCCAAACCTCTGCTTTGCTCCGGCCATCCGTTTAGCGTTCCATGCCTAAAGAAATAGGAGGCGAACGTATTACGGGCGATCGATTCCGTGGTCGTGTCCTCCTCACAATTAGGGCTCGATGCGTGCTCGTCGCGATTGATACGAGGCAGTATTTCCGTGGTGGACGATACGTAAAAACGGAAAAACGCGCGGGAATACCGCTACGGGTGATATCGGCGGAGGTGAGCGGAGGGGCGTCAAGCTGTTATTTGCAATGAAACGCAACAATTGTAATCGGAGTCGATGCACGACGTCGGCGTGTCCCGTAAACGCGCCATATTGCAGCTGGGCCGGTCGTGAAAAATAGTGTTTTTGTGCAAGCCGAAACGGCAGATATGAAACCAGCATGGCGGATGCTTACAAATAGTTGCAGGGCGGCGCCTCCATATAAATGCGCCTACAGCTCTTTTTCATTTTTTCTTTCGCTCTTCTCTCTCTCTCCCTCTGTGTTCGTTTTTGTCCGACCCTTTGCACGCGTTTCGTCTTTTGTCACACGGTTCATGCGGCGACGAAAAGGATTCCGCGAACAAGAGCCAGTTCCGTTGTATCACGAAGGGTAGAGGAATAATTTGGTGGTCCTCCCCATTCTGGCTCGACTCTGATTAGAAACACCGGGCCCGAAATGAATCGAACTGGAGCTAAGACGGTTTACACGTTGGATGGGTATGAGAAATAGTCGTTGCATCTGATAGGGAAGAAATCATCGAGCATCCGAGAGGTAAAGAGAAACATCGGGAGGATGTAACCGGGCATTACTCGGCGTTCTCGTCAAGAGCAAACAGTAGGGATAATGGATAGTCAGGGAGTCTCGACACTCGGCCAAGCGGTCTATTAACCGAGCTCGTGCAAACTATGTACGGTGCCGCTCTTGAAAGATTCGAGCGCGTCGCAGGCAGTCAGGGGGTTGAAACGCATATCGCGACGCCGTCCTCGGAGCGGTGCGCGATCGTGTCGGGCTAGGTACGTCTATGATATCGAACTCCGTACCGCGAGATAAGAGAGAACGGGAACGGACGAGTGCTGGTGCGGGTGCGGCAGAACCGGTGCCGGGCTGTAGGCAGGCGACTCGTAGGCAAGTCGTCGACGCGACTGCCGCCCCCGCGCACGCTAGATTACGGAATTCGGGATCAATATCCATGACGGTAGGTGTGGCGGATGGCAGAGGGTTCCATCTTCGACCATCCTCTGGGTGCTTATTGGTCGGAGGATCGACGTACTGGTTTCGAGCCCAGAGCTCGGCACCCACGACCCACGGTCGCGTTCTGGGTAAACGGGCGGAGCCTACCGTCGTTTCTCTCCCCTAGGCGAGCTGCTAGTGGGGAGAAACCATTGGGTGCACTCTCCTCTGGCAGGCCGCCGAATCGTAAATCATGACCAGTCGGTCGCTCGGAGCGCATCGCGACAAACAGCCTGAAAACCATTGGAAAACACCGGTCCCGCGATCGATCGGCGAGCCGATCGGCCGATACCCGATCTCGCTTCGTCTTCGCCGCCGGTCTTTCTCGGCCACGTTTCTTCGCGTTTCGTTCCTGCAATCAAAAGTGACGTTCATCGCGTACGTTTCCTTCGTTCTGTTCGAGTTCTCCCCGACGTGAGACACGCGATCGTTCGCCAAGTGTTCGACGACGACGACGACTCGAAGATCGTTTACAGTGGAGGGAACAGCTATGTGCAGCAACGAGAGTCCACCGCCGGCGAAGGAACCGCTCGCCGTCGGTTTGGGCAATCCCATGGCCGGGTTTTTACCCGGTCTCGAACACTATCGTCTACAATTGTATCATTACGCGATGGCCGAGAGATTGAGACTGGCCCAACAATTGCACCCTCAGCACCCAGGAGTCGGGCAACCGCCCTCGAGCGCTCCAACTCACCTAGGAATGGGTCCAGGTTTCCCGGCACCGCTGCCACTTTACCCGGCGGCGGCGGCCGCCGCTGGATATCCCAGCAGATTCATCCATCCGGCCTTGTCCATGGCCCTGCTGCACCCTCACCATCAACGAATACCAGAAGAACCTAAACCGCAACACAGTTACATCGGATTGATCGCCATGGCTATCTTATCCTCGCCCGAGAAGAAACTGGTGCTGTCGGACATCTATCAATACATCTTGGAACACTATCCGTATTTCCGAACCCGCGGTCCGGGCTGGAGAAACTCGATCAGGCACAACTTGTCGTTGAACGACTGCTTCGTGAAATCGGGAAGAAGCGCGAACGGCAAAGGCCACTATTGGACGATCCATCCGATAAATCTCGAGGACTTCCGCCGCGGTGATTTCCGAAGACGCAAAGCGCAGAGGAAAGTTCGGAAATACATGGGTTTGGCGGTGGACGAGGAACCGGACAGTCCTAGCCCGCCACCGTTGCCACCCACCCCTCCTCCGGCTTCGAGCCTAGGACCACCGGTGGCTTCTCAGCCGCTTCCCGGTATTTGGACTCCGCATCATCAACAGCAACAGCCGCAGCAGCAGCAACAACAGTTCCAGAGCCAGACGCTGAACAGGCAGTCGTCGTCGTTTCAACCGTCTTCCAGGAAGAGACAGTTCGACGTGGCGTCGCTCCTTGCGCCGGACGATCAACAGCATCAGATCGAGTCCGACATCAGGTCGGTGAAGACGAGGAGATTCAGCTGCAGCGAGGACGAATTGCACGATCTCCAGGAGCCTGATCAGGACGAAGAAGATGTGGACGTGGACGTAGTCGCCGAGACGAACGCAGTACCCTCGCCGAACACGCCGTCGGCAAGCCCAGATTCCAAGATCGTCTCTTCGGCCGGCCACTGGACCACCCAACCCGTCCAAGCCACCGGCGCTCAGCAGATGACCGCGTTGCATCTTCAGAATCATCTTCAAGCGAGGAATTATTACGTGCCGGTGACTTCGAGTACCGGGCCCACGGTTTAATCGTGGCAATCGATCGCGTCGTTACTTCTCCTCGTGGACTATCGGCTGAACGATAATTCGGAACGGTTCGACCGATCGTGACAATGGAATGCTGTGAAAAACGCTATCGAGCAATCAAGTGACGAGTTCCGAGATCGGGATGAATTCTTTCTTCATTTTTCGGCTGTCTTTCGTTCGATATTCGATGTTCGATCGTTGCTAGCTGGTGCTAAACTAGTCGTGCCAAATCGCGGAGGTTCCTCTCATTTATTTTTCTCCGTTTCCGGAGGATCACCGTTGCGAGATCGCCTTCGTATTCTTTGTAAGTTGTCGTACGTTCGTCGGGAGTCGACGCACCGGTGCAATACGCTTTAGATAATTTCGTTCGTTAGCATATTTGAAACGGGAGCAACGAATTCCCCGATCGACCAAATCAGGCCCCCGTTCCGACGCGACAGGACGTCGCGTCCGGGACCCTGACCGTTCGTTCGATTTCCGAGTCCAGTACCAACTCGAACCCATCATATGGCCAGCCGCAACGCGTGTTAGGGAACGAATCTATATGTACTGTATAAATATAGATGTATAAGCATCGTGTACGTGTGTTTAATCGGAGATTTCGAGTAGAATTCCACTGGGGAATAGACGTCCGACGATTCGTCGAGGCGAGCGTCGTCGACGTCCGCGCGAACGAGCAACGTAAATGCTTAAGTATGTATATTTGTATACTCGTGATCAATGCTTAACATTGATTCTACTCGTGCCAATCGTGGAATTCTATTCGTGAAGATAAACGAATTCTTGTAAATAGGAGATGGACGCGAAGGGAGATTGATGTAACTCTGTATTGTCGGTTTCCCGGAAGAGTGACTCTGCGAGGACGGATTTATTGGAATTTTCCCGATCGCGAGATCGCTTCTATTGGCAAACCGATGATGCGAGTTTTCGTACGCGCGGGAAATCCCGCCTGTTCAAAGTGTAATATAGGTAGTTAGTTGGAAGGTTCATCGATACTCTTGTCTTTATTATAATCCGTATCGTCGCGAACGGTATAAACGGTGTACTCTGTGCAAATTCTTGCTCCTTTGTATGTACGTATGCATGTATTTATGTATGTATGTATGTACTTATATACAATATGTATGTACGTGCCTACGTATAACGATGCATAGACAGTCGGATCGTTCGTAAATCGAATGGAAATGGCAAAGTAACACGGTTTTATAACGATTACGTCGGTTCGGTCAGCAATGTGGATAAATCTGTCTCTATCGATCCTCGGCGCGGAACTGCCGCATCTCGATGCAATTCAAGCTGAATAAAGATTCTGCTCCCATGGATGGTTATCCCTGTTTGCTCTTTACCTCTCCAGGTTTACTCGTTAAGAATCGTCGTATTTCGTAATTCGTCGGTGGTCCAGTGGAATGATTTTGAAAACGTTCCGACGACCACTTCGAGCAAATAGCTTACCTACATCTTGCGTCCGCAACGCGATATTAAAACGTGAGTAGTCGAGACGGACGTAACGTCTTCATCATTCAAACGGTCGAAGCATTCCGCCTTGATCAACGGGAAAAATATTGAGAATTCGACAAATATTGAACTATGAGTCAATGCTGAATTTTTACAATTTACCGATATCTATCTCTGTTCCATTATTAATAAATTGTTTGCTCGCTTATCTAAGCCCCCAATGCGTCTCCTTCGGCTAATCGTATCGGTCACAGGAGACAATAAGTCGTATGCCAAAATATTTTAGCATACATACATATAGGACGGATTGACGTAAAACAATTGCGAAAAAAAGATTGCGGGGACAACATTATCGTGCGACCCCTTACCTCTTTTTTATACGAAATTCAATGGGCGCTCGACGAGCGTTAATCAGTTTTAATCGAGTTTAAAATTTGACAAAAGTCCACGCTATTTTCCAGCTGTTTGATATATAACGATAATGCGACGATCGCGTTAAGCCGCGCTTAAAACGCGCTTTCAAGAATATAATCATTTTGTTCGCTACAGCTTTTAGCCAAATTTTTCATTTTCAGCTTTCACCGTGCGTCGTGCCGTTAAAAGTTTTTAACGCGGCGCTGCGTTGCGCCGTTCCCCGTCGATCATTATCTGTATTTTACTTTGTTTAACATCTGGCTCGCGTTTAATCGTTTCGACCTGTTTAGAAATAGCAAGCGCCTAGCTTGACTCTGAAAGCACGCAACGCTTCTTAGCTTCTTAGTTTCCATCGTACCCGAGCTTGTTACTTCTTCGTCAGATCGAATAATGATAGCTAAAGTTTGGAAGAGTTTGTCAGCTTAGAAACTGAAAAAATACCGAGTGAAACGTCGCCGTGACGATTGTGTAAAAGTATGACAAGCATGCATATGCATCTCATTTTTATCATCGAGCCAACATTTAGTATGGAAGTCCTTGCGACCAACTCTGATTTTGCTAATCTGTTTTTTTAGTCTTACATAAATAATTATCCTGCACAGCGATAATGGGGTAACTGTTTCTCAAACGTTCCTCGTAATGCTTAAAGCGCCCGGACTGAAAAATGTAACAAGAGACGGTCGAGTGGCGCTTCCTCTCCCCCGTACGATTTCCGCCTGTTTCCCGTTGCCTGTGACGGAAGATTCATCGCGTCGCGACGCAAAGCATCTTCCATTGTCTCCCGATTCATCAAATGAAACCCTAAGCAATCCCATTGCAACGGTCGACTTAATCCTCGATGGGACGCTGCCGTGAGCAGCGAAGCCCGACGGGAAGGAAAGCAATTTATTAAATATTGCTCTCAAAGGTAGTAAACTACGCGATATGCGAGGAAAATGTTCTCTACCTCCACGGCCGAACATCGATTTCGTCGTTCCGTTTATTTCGAACCACTTTGGGACTCGGCGTTCCCACAAAACTTTACCACGATGTAGGATCCCGAGCAGGGTGTTAGAAAAACATTTGGACATTCGGATCGGCACACTGCTCGGTCAATGGCCCGTTTCGAGCTATGCAAACGTAGTCGTTTCTCCGGTTTGTTGTTCCAAACCCACCGAGCGAACTATCGTTCCCATTTTTCGAATATTTAACAAATAGTGACGTGGCAATACCTATACCACCGGATGGAACGAGATCACGAACTCGAATCCGTTTTCCCGTTCGATCAGACATTTCTGGCCACAAACATTCGACGATTTCCCGAGAAGCTTTCTTCCCGTTCACCTTTTCTCGACGAACCGGGAAGCGACCGTCATCCCTGGCCTATTTTGACGTCGTTCACTGGCGAGCAGCCGACTCAAAGGGATCTCGAGTTCGCGCGAAGATCGCGGAGATTAAAAGCACCGGGCGAAATCCCATGGAAATCGGAATGTTTGCCTACTCGCGATACGTATCGTCGCCGGACGTATTCAGATCAGATTGCGCCGGGTTCGGAGCGTCCGCGTCGTTGTTTGCCGCACGGTAGCAACGCTTCATGCATATACATGCATATAACCGAAGCGATGCAACGCGGTGGCGATGCAGCTTGCGACCGACGGGACGGTTTCGTGTGCGAAACTGGCTACCATCGCCTCGCGACCGTCATGCACACCGGATACACGATCGCGCTCGTGCGCGCACACCGATAGGGTGCGGGATGCTGGAATCGGTGATCTCGTTACGCGCATACCTCGACAGTCGTTACGAACGCGAACGGATTTGCGGCTGCGCGGATTACGATAGTTCAATCGAGAGTACCTGTTCTCTCCTTCGCGTTCCTTCAACGACGATACCTACTATTGGTTCGAGACGGCCAATTCGGCTCCTCGGTCTCCCGCGAGAACGACACGCTCTCGTCCCTGGCTCAGGTAAAATATTAGCCGTTCCCTTCGTTCCCCGGAGTGGCATAAAATGGGATCTCAGCCGTCGCTGTCGTTGGTCGCGAGGGTCTTTCGAACGCCAAAACGGTTCGGTTCTTTCCTGTCGTTTCGCGTCAGGTGTTGCACGGGCATCTTCCTATGGCTAATAATCCATTTATAGCGAGCCATTGTCGTCGCGGTCGATGACCGATCGCGAGAGCGTCCCCCGATGTATTTTTAGGATCGGCAAATAGATCGGGCGGCGATATTCATCTGCCTACTTACGCGTTTCCGGTGTTGAAGAACCTTCGCGTTACAATGGTACGAGTGCCTCTAATGACGCTTCGATGAAAATGGAGCGCGAGGATAAATACAGCGAGGGAGCGGTGGTCAAACGTTTCGACGTGCTTCGATACGGATCCTCGGGAGTCTGAGATTTTTAGGGACGGCTTCCGGTACTGAACGCTCGTTGGACGTGCGACGATCGAAATTACGAAATGCAACGGGAAAACAGCGGGGGAAGTTGACGCTGCACTAACGGCAACAGTAATATCTCCGTTGAGTCACAATATTGTTAATTGGACGCGTTCGGGCGAGAGTCGACGCGTGTCCCGGTACCTTTTGTCGCGTACCGGGCATTACCGTTCGAATCTCGCGCAATTATTTTTCCTCCAGAACGATTTCGTCGCCTCGATACGTCCGAACAATCGAGTCGTTTCGAAAATCGCACGGGGAGTCGCGCGGCGGGCGAACCCCGCGGCGACGGCAGCTGCTTCCGCGCGGCAGAATATTCCTTCGTCGCGAGATACAAATACGTGAAACCTCCGCGACAATGGCTCGAGAAACATTCGAAGGAACCGAGGCAACTGTTGCGAAACCACTTTATTATCGCTCGCTCGTCTCGAAATAATTTCGCCCCACGGCGAAGCCTCCCTTCGCGACAGGGATTATTCCATGAATCCGATTTTTCGGACTCCGATCAAATGAGTACCCACGTACGTTTCTTTCGAATCGAGACTGAATCGTCGATCGTTGGTATTATTCCCGGCAACCAATTTCGTAAAAACATCGAGAGAAAACTTTCGGTCAGAATATTTATGCGCTACGCGTATTTTACAAGTTGACCGGGCTGTTTTGTTACACGGTTACACGCCAGCGTACGTACGGGCGCGTAATAAACTCTATTTTCATAAGCCGTTGCCTACACCGAGGCTAGCCATAATTTCATAACAATAGTTCTATGCTAAATTTCCTCCGCACGCGGAAAATCGGGCTAGGCAATGCCGCTACCAGCGAAGCTGTGTGTGCGCGCATTACCTTTACTATAGCTATACAGTCACCAATTTTATCGCCCGCATGATTCGCCGTAAAACGTTATACCGTTCTACTGTTCTAAATGTTCGGCAAGAAAAATTCCCTTCCACCGATCGACGTTTACCACCCGAGGTAATCCGTTGCTAATTAAGACGCGTAAGAAGAATGATTTTATCAATGAAACAGCGATGACAGGTCGATAATTACAAATTATGGAACGAACGCTCTTGATCCCCGATGGATAATCGGTGAGGAAATAGAACGTCCCTTTGAAACGGTGAATAAACGGCATGCAAAAGTTCTTTAAATTCGAATATGTCCTCAACGCGAAAAAGATTCTATACGCGGTGGACAAACACGCGTTTCGAATCGAGCACGGGCCATTGATGGATTCGATGCAATCGAAGTGGGTGCAAATAAATAAACGGCGCCCGATACCCGTCAGCGCGAATGACAGAAAATAGCCGAATTCTCGCAAAACGCGCGCCGTTTCATAATGCGGATGTCGTTGGAAAATATTTGCTAACAGCCGGTCCGGTGTGTACGTATAACGGCGCGCCGCGTATCGAGAGAGAGAGAGAGATTCAGCGAAATCCCGTCGAATTTTCGCTCGGACATTCCAAATCGTTTATTGGAATTCGCGAGTTCGAAGAGAAAACACTTATAGACGCGGAGTCACCCAGCAGTGACCGCGTCTCGTCGTTTGGAATCGCGGATGGAAATACGATTTGATGAAAATCGTACGGGCCGTGGTACCTTGCGGCAACCACGAGAACGGAGAAGGAAGAGGGTACTCCCGAGGTATTCGAGGACACTCGATTGGCCACCGTACTTAAGGGTGTAACCGAGCGCGTGATCGAACTGCGGCGTTCGTTCGTCCTCGAGGACTCTCCTGTGCCGAGCCCGTGGGTCGGAGAATAAATCGGAAACAAATTCTCGGGGTGGAAGGAAAGGCTGCCGCTGCCGTCACGGATTGTCTCGTGCGAGACGTAATGAGATTCGGCCGTGCGTGAAACTGGCTGGTTGGATTCAAAGTGGCCCGTGGAAAGCGTCTCGAGAGGGCAACATGCCGCAGCCCGCTTCTATGCAGCCTGAATTTCGAATCTCCGTAAACATCCCAGTGGATTAAGACGCCTACGTGTCCTGCCGTAGCGCTCCATCCGCTCCGATCGCAGGACGTTCGAGGAACGACAGGGAACCATACTATT